AGAGTAGTTAGAACCACTTCAGGAGCCTGAGAAACAAAAGAGGAGAGTTTGTGCCCCTAAATAATGAAGGGAAGTGGGAGATTAGGTCTCGAAAACAGAAGGCTCCAGAGAGATTCTGCAGTTGCTGTAAGGAATTAAGAACCTTTCTTACCTGAAGACCTGTCACCAGTTTTTCACCATACCTAAAGAAAATCCAAGCCATCCCCATATTTGAACTCCTACTTCCTGAGATATTTTTGGCTGAATTTTTATCACAGGACTGATCTGATTAATGTTACAAAAATATATCCACAATGCTCATTGCCTTCTCATTAATTTTCTAGATTTTCTCTATGTAAAAATTCCTTTTTTTATTGATTATCAATATTCATGGAGTACAAAGTTGACCATCACCACTTATGGCCAAAAATTCTTCTATAAAAAAATCTGCCAAATGCTTCCTCAGTTCTTTATTTCTAGGAAAGGGGTGTTGATGGGTACTGTACCTATCCACAAATATTTATTATGCACCTAATGAAATGTTAACATTGTTAGCCAGCAGTTTTGAGTACTTGCTTCCTACCAGGCCTTGTACTAAATATTTTGAATGCGTCGTTTCATTTTGTCCTTACTGCTGCCCTATGTAGGAGGTATTTCTGGCTTATAGATGAAGAAACAGAGCCTTGGAGAGAGTTTGTGCAATGCTTACAGTTACATCGCTAATAAGTGGAGGAGCCAGAATTTAACCCAAGGCATCTGACTTCAAAGCTCGTGATCTCAACTATTCCGTTCTATTTCTTCTCTGTGTGCCAGGTATTTTGTAGACTATCTGGCAAGTTCAAAGAAATAGAAACACCCAGTGTCTGGCCTCAAGTTCTTATACAGCATATGGAATGAGGATACTGGACATGAGATAATGTTGGTCAAGGCATTTATGCCTGATGCCAAATGAATGAAACACATAATGGAAGTCTATCACATCTGCCACTAAAGATTGGGATGGGGAGGGGCGTTCGGTTTAAGAAGATCGGGTAGTCTTTGGAAGTCATTTCTAGCACAAAACTTGCTTCCCACGGCTATGCTTAACAGAGAGCACTCGGGACATATCTAAAGAAGCAGACGCCCATCTTGGTAAGGGCTCAGGCTGTAGATGATTTAAACTCGCATCTTTTCCTGTTGAGGACTTATTCCATCTCTCTTATGCTGATATTCTTAGGCATCTCTTTTTTTGGCCAAATACATGGTGGTTTCTAAAATTAATTTCTTAAGTGATAGTTTAACTAATGAAGGGAGCATTTCCCTGTTTCACCACTCTCCAGCTTTAGATTTTTGAGGTAGATTCCATTGCCAGTGCTTTCAGAGCATTGTTTTATGCAGAGGGTCTTAAAGAGCAACCTAAGATGTGTCCACTGCTGCAAACAATAATGGGGTGGGGGCAACACCATCAGAGGCCTGCATGCCATGTGGACCTGCCCCTTTATCAACTGCAGCTATGATGAACATGATAGATGCATGGAAGGCCAGGTTGTCTTGTCCTTTTAGAGGGAAGATGTCTGAATTTCTCTTCTCTCCAAGGTAATGTAAGGAACTTGGGTCAGCCCTGCCTGTTCAGAGTATGTTTCCATATTGGGACCCCTAAGAAAGAAACAATGCTGATAAATTTTGCTCGGAAGGCCAGGTTGTCTTGTCCTTTTAGAGGGAAGATGTCTGAATTTCTCTTCTCTCCAAGGTCATGTAAGGAACTTGGGTCAGCCCTGCCTGTTCAGAGTATGTTTCCATATTGGGACCCCTAAGAAAGAAACAATGCTGATAAATTTTGCTCATTTTAACCCAAGTCTACATGAGGGAAAAAGAGGAAATCTATTTTCATTGTTGTTGTTTTTTGCTTTTAAAAATGTGTGGCTAGAAAAGCAGTGAAATAAAAGAGGTGTTATCATTGCTGAAGTTTTCTTGCCATCAAACGCACCCTGTTCTTGAGGTCATGCGTGGGGGAGAGACCGACCTTCCATGGAGAGATGTCTTTGGACATCTGCCTTAGTTTGTCAGTTACAGATACTAATGGAACCAGGTTTGGCGAATGAAGGGTAAAATGGAATATGAAAGAGGCCTATGAAGGAAGCATGTCATTTCTAAATGAAAGTTTCATGCAAAGGAATTGAGTCTTTTCACAGCTGAAAATGGAATCTTTAAATAAGATAAAATAAAAGGATGCTTTGGCTTGTTGTTGCAGGTTCTGTAATGAAATACAATTTTCCTAATACCGTGTGACCTGCATTTCTCCCTGCTTTATGGGTGCTATTCCTTGACGTACAAACCCATATTTTCTCAAGTCAGCATTTGATGATGGATGTCAAAATACAGGCCATGTATTATGCATATAGCATTACCGATTTAAGGTGTTTACTTGTCAAGTTGAAGAAATTCAAAAACGTCATATCCACTGAATCTGCACAGCTGTCACTTGCAGTTTTTCATGCTTTTGAATGAAACTTCTGATGAAAACAGTTTAGTTTTCCCCTTCACTATTCTAGGTGAAGAAAACAGCCAGCATTTAAAATGCATGTTCTTGGCTATGTGGTTGGCTGAAAAACACATTTCCAAAGTTTAGAAAGATGGACACTACAATGTCATTCAAAATGACTTAGTCTGTTCATGATGTATTAGTATAAAGAATAAAATTAAGTGCAATCAGGAATAGGTATTAAGTAAAACTTTTTCTTTCTGAAAGTATGACACTTGATATGAAATTTATGCACAGGAGAGCAGAAAATAAGAAAACCATTTTATGTTTTTCCAGTGTTTTGTGCACTATTCACCTCCAAAACAACTGGCTATTGTTGAGCACATGTCATTTCATTCCTGATTCACACATAGCCAAATGCCAGATTCAACCCAATATTGTCACATTACTAGGGAGTGAGTCAGGAATCTGGCTACATAATCTATTTGGAATTTTGTCCTTGGAAACATAGCAGGTGACTTTATGTCTATAAGTCCCTAATCATTGATAAGCCCATGTAGCAATCCACAAAGGGCAAAGAAGAGAAACCAAAATGCATGCGAACACCTGCTTGTCCTGCAAGGAGGGGGAGGAAGCTGGGCCTGGCAGGCAGCGTGGAGCGGATGGCACCACCTGTCATATGCCTCACTAGGAAAAATTAATTCTCACCCCATGGCTGTATGAGGTAGTTAAGTTTCTCATATTTATGTGTCTCTATGCACATCTTTACAGGTGCCATCATTCAGCCTAGCTGGGATGATTTCTCACTGTCACTGAGCTTGAAGTTATGGTTGGTCCAAGCTCATCTTGATATCTACTCGAGACTTGGGCCTGAGACCCAAAGAAGCCCAAATTGCAAAATCATAAGCCAAGCAGACTGCTTTCCAATTTTACTGCATTTGTGTTTACCTTATGAGGTCTGTGTTGGGCACACTGGGAAGTTCGAGTGGTTCACCCTAATCAGGCAGCATATCCATCAGTCAGGAGGATCTTAGCTGCAAGCAGAGAAAACTCAATTTGGCTTAAACAAACAAACAAAAAATATATATGTGTGTGTATAATATTGTTTGTGTATGTATGTATAAATATGTTATTATAGATTGTGTCTGTATATATTTGATATATATGTATGAAAGTGCTCCAAAAAGTTCATAGAAAGACTGGTATTATCTTTTAATTCTATATATATCTCATACAGTAAAAAATTCTGAGATAGGATGGTTCCAGGACTGGTTATCTCCAGAACTCAGGACAGTTCTTTCTCTCATTCAACTCAGCCAATATTGTTAAGTTACTTTTGTTCTCAGCTGGTTTCCATCCTGGTTGCAAGATGACCGCCACAGTTCCAGGCACTACAGGCACATAAAACAATGTCCAGTAGATTAAAAGAGAATCTCTTCCTATGTATTTCTTCTTAAGAACAAAGAAACACTTCTTGAAAGCCCCCAAGCAGACTTCTTCCCACCTTGCATTGGCTAGAACCTCAAAATCCAGGCCTAAGTCAGTCACTGACAAGAGGACAAGCAACCAGTGGGTTGATAACAGTCAGGATAAGTTAGGTTATGCTGTGGTAACAACAACAGCAGCAAACAAACAAATTTCAGTGACTTGAGGCAGTGCAGCTTTATCTTTCACTCACTTGGAATACTCTCTGGGTCTGGGCAAGTGCACTGTCCAGCCTTCATCTCCATCATAACCTGTGTCCTCAAAGTGGCCTGGGATGAGAGAGATGGCAAGTCACATCTTTGTACCAGAAGTGATATGCATTTCTCTGTTCATTTTCTATGGGCCAGGGCATTTCCTATGTCACATGGCCATATCCAACCTCAGGAGGACAAGGTGCAGAGCAACTAGTCCTCCCATGTGCCTTGAAGGAGATGGGAACCAAAATCTGTGTAGGATAAATGATTAGTGTACAATCTGGATTTCTAGGGAACTATCAAAGTGAGTTAGAATGATGTATAATTGTATTAGTCTATTTTGTGTTGCTATACCAGAACACCTGAGACTGGGTAATTTATAAAGAACAGAGGTTTATTTGGCTTATGATTTTGGGACGGCTGCATCTGGTTTGGGCCTCAGGCTGCTTTTACTCATGGTGGAAAGCGGCAGGCAGCCAGCGGGTACAAGCAGATCATATGGCGAGAGGAAGCAAGAGAGAGAGAGAGAGAGGGGGGGGGGAGGTGCCAGGGTCTTTTAAACAACCAGTTCTCACGGGAACTAATAGAGCGAGAACTCACTCACTACACTCACTGCCCCCCATAACCCAAACAGCTTTCAAAACTGCTACATTGGGGACCAAATTTCTACGAGTTCTGGGAGAAAAATACATGCAAACTCCATTAATAATGGTCTCTTATTTGCCTTTCTAGAAAGTAACTCATCAGAGTTTGTGTTGGGAGTGTTCATTGTTGACCTGTAAATAATGCATAAGCTATATTTTGGGGGGGTTGTATATGTACACTATTTCCAGGTTTTCCACTGCTCTGATATTTCTTCTTCCTCTCTTTTTTTCCTCCAGGGTTCACACCTCCAGGAATGGACAGGTCCTCTCCAGATAACAGCCCAGTACACGGGATGCTGCGTCAGCCATCCATCACGACTGGGGTTAACATTCCCATCATCACTGAATTAGGTAGGGGTCAGTGTCAGCTTTGGGGAGATATTTCTGCCCTCTTTTCCAGGCCGTGCAGGATATGAGGAGGTTGCCCATTTCTTCTTAGTCCTTTTAGCTTCATAGGCTCCAGGCGGGCGGGAGGAGGGGGGTTTGGGGGAGGTTGGAGAGAGGTCTGGGTAGAAATATGGCAGCTTACTCAGAGGGACAACTGATCTATCCTTCCTCTGAGATGAATAGACAGTTTCCTTCATGCTGGTCCCTGTTTTCAAAGGAGCATGAGATGCTGGATTCGAGATTGGGGCATAACTTTGGAAAGGGAGAGGAAAGGAGGAAAGGCTTAGTCCATGGACTCTTTCCAGTGACTTTCACTGGAAGTACCTCTCTCGAGCACTCAGTCTGGAGAGATCTTACAATCTGAACCCTCCACCGACATACAAAGTCTCAGGTCTAAGCCAACCCCATCTTGAGAACTGGTAGAAGCACTGGGTAATGTCTAATAATTCTGTATTTAATCTACCCTAGTTGACCTTCTCAGCCAAAGGCCACTTTCAGCGAATGCTACTCTGTTCCAAAAAATGATGGGGTTTTGAGGACCATGACCATTGGCCAATGGAATCCAACTTCTAATCTGGCCGTGGCCCTCCCTGGTACCATTCGTGAATCTGCAAAACTGCTGAGTGGCCTCCCCCTCCCCACCCCACAACAAATACAAACCATCTATGGTCCTGGGTCCCTTTACTTTAGAATGTTTTTTCTGTTATTCCCTCACTCTTCTCTTTTTCTGTACTTTCCTCCACTCCCTTTCCCCAACCCTTAAATGCCGTATCCAATTAGCTAAACCGGGCAAGTTGCCTTTGGTATCAGTCAATCAGGAAAAAAACAGTGGGACGCACATTCTAATGATAACAGAATTGGGTAAGAAGCACTGTTTTCTTTCACATCAGTATCTCCTTTTGTTCTGTTGTTGGTGTCTCCAGCTATCATCAGCTTGTTTTTTATTTTACCAGCTGTAATGGAAAGGCTACCCATGGCACTGCTTTGAATGTGTTTTATTTGTGGCTCTGGTTGGAATCGACTGTCTTGTTCTGGCCTTTCTTAATGATTTTTTTTCCCCACACAGCATCAGTAAACCTTTGATCACACCCATCTGACCTGGCAGTTGTTTCCAAAGCATCTTTGCTCTAATTCATTTTCTTTGGCCTGAGCCTTTCTTTTCCACGTGTCCCTCTGCTCCCCCACCTCCTCCCTTGTTTTCCTCTTCCAACACCCTGTCAGTTTGACTGACACATCTTCACAGCTCTCAGAGGAAGTCAAAGGAGAAATATAAAAATTTTAAGATAAGAAACCTAAGATGGTGCCTTCCCTCCAGCTGTTTATTTTCCTTTATTCTGACTTTATTTGCCTTTTTTTTCCTACTAGGCCCTTTCTCAGAAGCTCTTGTTCTGAAGCCATGAAAGCAGCTGGTTCTTAGGGGACCCTTTTGTACTAAAACCAGGTTTCAAGAAGGGTGCAGATGAGGTTAGCAGCCACTGAGGCACAGCCCTGCCCTATGACCCCCAGTCCCCTGGCCCAGAGCCTCTCTGGGAGGTCCACAGGGGACTCATCTGGAAGAGAAAGGCCTCTGGTCGTGACTGCATTTGTCAGACCTTGCCACGGTTCCCCATGACTTGGTTCATAACTCCATGAAGTGTGCCCATCAGCAGTGGGTCTCAGAACTGGGGATTGATCTTCTAAATAGAGACAGCCAAAGTGCTGCTTGGCAGAGGAGCGGATTGAGAGGTAGGAGCCCCCGCCTTCAAATGACTCACCAATGAAATGAACACTCCATTCTCTTGGCCCCAAAATATATTTCAAAATAAGAGAGCAGGCTTTTAACACAGGCATCTTGCTTGTGAGGTGTCTAGAAAGCAAGGAATAAATTGTCCACCATTCAGCACTGCATTATTGTAGACGTAGCTATTTATCAGGACAAACTCACTCAGGTCAAGGAGGATCACACTATTTTTCTGTTTGCAACCATAGGAGCGGTGTCACTTTCATGTTTAGTGTAGTTGGTTAAAAGCCTAGGTTTCTGAATGGCTCTACTCTGAACTGTAGGGCCATGGGAGTTACAGGGAGATCATATGGCCCAAACCTCTGGCTGGAAAATTCATCCAAACATCGCCATGTCAGAACCTATGGCAGCATTTCAGAATCATCCCTGACAGGAATTTCTTTTTCTATTTGGAATTCATGTGGTGCTGACTGACTAGGAAATCTTGATTTGTGATTAGCAGAAGAGAAAGAAAAAGCTTAGTGCCTCGGATCTGAGGCAACAATTCAGGTATCTGTCTAGTCCTGCACCAGCTCTCTCCTCTGTGTTCAGAGGACCTTCCACGTGCTCACCACACCGCCCTTCCTTCTGACTTACGCCCTGTTTAGTTCCTAGTAGCCATACCACATCCTCTGGCCACTTCACCTCCCCCACCCCCCGCAAATGCTTACTACTTACCTACATGCTCTGAGATGTATTCTGCTTTACATCAAGCCAGTAAAACGTCCTTTAAAAGACAGAGGGTACCAAAGCCAAACAAGTTTTTTTTTTTTTTTTTTTCCTTTTTGTCTTTTTTCATGTCCGGCAACAGACCGCAACCCTCAGTGCCGCGCCCGTACCAGACCGGGACCGGCAACGGGATCGCAACCCTCGGTGCTGCACCCGCCCCTCGCTCAGCCAGTGAGCGGGAACCGGTCTGTATGTGGGATCCGAACCCTCGGCGGGAGGGCCGCCACGCTCTCAAGCGGCGCACTGTAGCAGTGCGCCACCGGGCCGGCCCCAAACAAGTTTTTAAACTGTAGTATATTCTAGACTTCATCTACTTAAAGACTCCCAATTGATGTCAGCATGGCGAAGGCTCCTAAAAGCCCCACAAGAAAGAACTTTGTTGGAAGCTGTTTAACCTATTTCTCAATCGTATTTGACCGAATAAATTTTTGGATGATTATGTGGGTGCGTTGGAAACAGGCTTCGGGTAGTGCCAGCTGCTCTCCACCTGAGACGGGTTTCCCAGAGAAGTGTGCAGGATTTTCACTGAATCCTGTTGAGTGCCCTGGAGTTCTTTTCCAATGACCTGAGTCCCCAGCTCACTGAAAAGCTGGAGTCCTCCCTCCCTGCTTGGATCCACTTCTCCTCCATGTCTAGTACCAACGCTTCACCATCTCTTGAAGGGAAGCAACAGCCACTGCTCCTTGTGAGTACCGACCTGCACACCGTCAGCGGCTCTTACAAGTCACTAAACCCACGCTCCTCTGCATGTGGCCTCCAGTTTTCGTTTTCTGATTCACAAAGCAGAAGGACTAAACTGTGGCGCACAACATGCCTTTACACCAGCGGAGGGAGGAGAGGAAAAGCTACCACTTGAAAGGCCCCTGAGCCAGATCTTCAGGGTTTTCTTGAGAGAGGCAGAGGGACACGGGGCACTTTCATCATGTGATGGGTTGACAGACATTTAATGTCAGAAGGGAAATCTCAATGGCAGCTAACATTTATCAAGAACAAGACATGATCCAGGTGTGGGGCCAAGCTCACCAGACGCGACCTCCTAGGAGCCTCCTGACAATGTCCTGAGAGAGCTGTTACGATCCCCCATGTAACAGAGGGAGACTAAGGTGTAGGATGGTGAAAAGCTTTCCCCAAGGAGTTGGTGACAAAGCCTGGTCTCAAAGCCCAGTTGTCAGAACCTGGGTTTTGGGCTTTCACCTTCTAGCCTGCAAGTCAAGTGCTGCTGAGGCAAAGGGGACCCAGATGTGACCAACTTTGGAAGCACAGAGCAAGGACTTCCCCCCATTAGAATCTTTCTCTAGGGAAACAAGATGGTGTCATTTAAAAATAATTCCATGCCTAGCCTTTTATGCTAGTATCATTTATTCCACCTCATGCAATAAACAAACAAAAGTTAAAAGAAAAGTTATCAAGGAATTTACTTTAAAAATAACTCCAGGCAAGAGAACTAGCTGTTGATACTTTTGGAAAGGAATCAGAGAAAGGAAACCTCATCTGTTCTCTTCCTGAAAGCCCAATAATTATTCCAGAAATCACGAGGGTCCCTCACCTCCCTCCACCCAACTTCCCCCTTTTACTTGCTCTGCAAAACCGATCATTTCTAAAGCCAAGATGGAAATGGAAATTAATTTGTCCTTTAATTTTTAATAAGTTAAAGACATCTGAGTGACATAACTTACCCGTCTGCATGTGCGTGTGGGCAAAGTCCTTGAGGGATCCTCAGATGGAAATGAAATCCAGCATCCAGTGCTGCATCTGCCTGAGCACAAGCACAGAACAGACTGAGCTGTTTAGAAGGGGAAGGGGAGAATGTGGGTGTCCATGCAACCCTGAATGTAGAGCGGGTCCTTGTCAGCACACGGCAGGAGACAGCCTGGGACCCATCCCACCTAGGGGGGGTTCCTGTTGAGTAATGGTCTGGATTCAGGGCCTGGGAGCCCAGCCACTGCCTAGGCCCATCCGCAGGGCAGGCTGCTGTGGGTCATGCCTCAAGGTGAAGTCCTTGCTATTTGCCTTTTCTGTGCTCCCAGTCCATTGCTCTGTACTCTCAATAGGTTGCTTTCTTTCCTTTGTGGCTAAGCTTACCATCCCAGCATGGCTGCTCATCTTTGAAACACATCCATCTCTCAAAGGACTTGGCTACCAAAAAATGCTCCAGGCTGTTTTACGGTCATCACGCTAAAACTATACCAAAGGGCGGGCCAGCAAATGTCTGCTAGTCAGTCCTCCAGCAGCCTGCCGTGGAGCACGCCCGCAGTCTCAGAAGCTTAAACCATCACACAGGAGCAGTCCGTTGAGTCCCGCTGCGCCACACCCCAAAGACCCATCTACATGTTTTTATTTCCTTTTCAGTGACTTCGGTGTTTCTAAACCAGCAGCCTGGTCTCTCTCTGGCTTCGCTGCCTGTGTGTGGTCTTTGCAGCTAATTCTTATTTTACACTTTTTCTAGTGAACGATACTAATGTTCAGTTTTTGGACCAAGATGATGACGATGACCCCGACACAGAACTGTACCTCACGCAGCCCTTCGCATGTGGGACAGCATTTGCTGTCAGTGTCCTGGACTCGCTCATGAGCGCGGTGAGTCATCCCGCTCCCTCCTCCCTGCTCAGCAGGTAGAGGAAGCGGCAGTGGAGCACCCCAACTCTAGAGGCACTGGGCCGGAGCTTTCAGTCTAGAAGGGGATCCCGACATTAACCAAACCATCGCACAAGTGAGAATTTGATATGCATTCCTCAAAGTGCAAAAAAGCAAGGAAAGCCATTAGTGAATGCAAAGGTACTTCCAAAAGTTCATGGAAAGTTTCGTGTTGTCTTTTAATTCTATTTTTCCACAAATTTTTTGAAGTACCCTTGTATAGGTGGGCACTGGATCTGGTCTTGGGGATCAGAGAAAGATTCCCCAAGGAAGTAATATATATTTTATGCTTAGATCCGAGCCATAAAGAGGGAGACTTTGTGGGAAAGAGCATTCCCTGAAGGCGAGGGAATGCAACGGCCTGGTATTGGGGGGAATCCGATGCTCTCCAGGAAGGCAAGGAAAGCCTGAGAAGCAGGACCACAATGAGAAAGCGACAGGGGAGGGCGAGGCCACGTGGGACCTGCAGGACCTCGAAACCCATGCGCATGGATTTGGTCTTTTTCTTTAAAGTCATGAGGAGGCATTGAATGGTGTTAAGTTGGGGAGTGATGCCGTCAGGTTCATGTTTTGAGGGGTTGCCTTGGCTGGTGTGTGGAGGATGGTTCAGAGGGGCAGGATGGCTGTGGTAGCATGGACTAGGATAGAGCTGATACAGGTGGGGTGTGGTCGGATTTGAGGGGTATTTGTTGGTAACATTAATAGGACTTAGGAATGAAGTGAACGTGAGCAGAAGGTGGAGAAGACAACGTGTCAAGGGTGACTCCCAGGTCACTGCCTGTCACTGAGTCAGAAGTCCTTGGGAGAGGATAAGGCATGGCTCATTCTCTGCTGCAGGGAAGGGACAAACTTGGTGGCAGAGAGTGGAGGGCGTGCTGGCCCAGGGATCAAAAGCAGCTTTGGACCTTTTATAGCTTGATGTGCATCAATCAGTCAAGGCATTTGTTTTCACAGTCTTGAGACCAAAAACAAATAACAATTAAAAAAATAGATCACAGCTTAATGGAGCCATCTTTTATTGCAGAATGCAAAAGCAGACATTTAGAATGGGTCATAGCCTGGGTATTGCAAAGTGTTCCCACTGAGTGTCCTTATCTACTATATAGAAAAGCCTCTTTGTTTTGGAGCTCTCAAATTAACAATTTGGGAAGATGGATAAAAACTGACCTTTGAAGAATCCATGAAAAAGAGTTTTATTGAACACATTAAAACTGTAAACATAACTAACTCGGAGAGTTTTTGTACACTCGCATTTCTTAAAGTGCTTAAGAAGGTTATTCTCCTGAATGTGTTAAACAACTGATATGCTAATTATGCATTATTCTCATCTATTCGTTAAAGCTAATCCCAGAAGGACCTTAATTTGAGGAAAGAAAAAAAACAAAACTTTATAAGACTAATTTAGGTTATTCTATATTCCAAGTACAAGCATATCTTAGTTAAAAATCAGAATTCTGGATTTAAAAATAATTATGGAAAAACATTCCTCTGAATTAAGGCTGACTGGGCTTCATGCCATGCTTTCAAAGCCAGCAAGGAGATAAAATAGTCCCTAGAAAAGTGCACACTTGATCTCCTGGGGCCTGGGGCCTTTCTGACGGCCCGATGACACTGAGACTCACCTTTGTACCTGCAAACTCCTTGAACAGACCAGAAGGAGAGATAGATCCTACAGAATGTGCTCATTAGAGCACCATATTCTGTGTAATAGGCCTCATATTCTCCAAATCCAGTTTCAAATGGATTTTTATAATTCATCTCTTTAGTAATTTTATTTTAATTCTGATCCTAATTAGAGAGATTTCAGAAGACTGTCCTCACAAAGAGATAATTAAACTGTTTACAGTAGATCTTTTTTTTTTCAGAACCACAAAATACTCTGTTAAAAATTTTAAAAATTCAAATTTATAAAATTGTTTATGTTTTTATGTTTCTATATCTCCAACATTCAGTATGTTCCAAGTGGGACTGGCTACATAATTTGCAAGGCCAATTTTTTATAAATTATTAAGGATTTCAAAATGGTGGCAGCAGAGTATTAAACCAAGTGAGGGGCTCTTCTGAGCATGGACCCTGTGCAGCTCTGCAGTTTGAACAGCCATGAAGCTGGCCCTGGCACCAAGGAGTGCAATTAGTTTAAGCACCAGAGAACTTCACCTCTTCAGCCAGAGGGGCACATGGTGGCCATGAGGTGGAGGTGGGAGCACATCTGGATTTGAATTGTACAGCTGTATCTATCTGTAGCATCACTAGGGAGTGACTTCTGGGACACTCAGATGAGAAATCAAAGTGAATTTTTTTTAAAAAAAGCCATCTCCAATTTCCTCTGAAATGCAAACAAAAATGTTTGCAAGAGGGTGGCAAGGGCGTGCTCTCAGTAGTCTGAGAGCAGCATTTCTTCTGCATTCTATCCTGTGAAAAAGGGTGCTAGGAATCTAGTAACCATCGTTGTATTTATCATTAGCAGCATCATTTACTGAGGGCTCAGATTATGCAAGACTTCAGCTTCTTTATCTGATCTTTTGGACAATAATGTCAATAAACCCGGTTTAAGGGTTGAAGCAAGACATATTTAACTGACCCACTAATAGTGACTTTTCAAATCATTAATGAAAATGCCTATCAAATTATTCCACACCTTGTTCTCACTGTCTGGGATGAACAAGTTCCATCGTGAGGTCTTGATTGGGGTCTGGTTCAACAGACCCAATTGGATCTAGACTTGATAAAATGTTACCTCTGATTTCTTTGCATTCCACCTCAACCCCAACTCATGAAAAAGCAGACCAGCCAACTACCAACATAGTAACTAGAAGGAACTAAAAGGGTTGGCAGGAATATAAATTGACAAAGTGAGGCTCCTCCAAACAGCAGGAGTTGAAGGTAAGCTTCCACCTCAGGCCTTCGCTTACAAGCGCATCACAACATCCACACACAGATCTCTTTAGATGTCAGTGATCTTCTTTTTCTAGTGCTCCTCCCAAAATTGCCATTTAATAATGTGTCTAAACATTCCCTGAATATTGTCCTTCGTAACTCAACTCCTGCTGCTTACTGCTTCATTTGTTAAAAGAATAATGCTTTGATTCATCAGGCATTCGTGGAACAGATAGGGATGGTATAGACCTGGTCTTGTGGTTTTATCCTGCAAATCAACAGCAGGAACTCATGACAAGAGGGAATAATTATATTTATGGGTATATGCCTCAAAGAAGAAGATCACAATTTGGAAATGTATTTTTCAGAATGATACCAGCTTGCTGCACACACACACACATGATGAAAGGAAGCCTCTCTGTTTTTAGGACTGAAACTAATATATGAGAATCCAGATTTCTTTTCCACCCAGCCTCAACTTCCTTGTAACCTCTACCCCAATCTGGGTTCCACTTGGACCCTGGAAAGAAAAGGGACTCAAGGCCCAGACAGCTCGGATGCACATCCCAGCACTTCCATTTACTGGCTTTATGGGGATAATAATAGTACCTACCTCATAGGGTTACTGAGGTGTGTAAATGAGCTAAGGCTGTAAGGTGAGGAGTGCAGTACTTAGCACAAAAGCTCAATATATATTTATTGTTGTTAGTGTTCACATGCATGGGGCACTTACTAAATGCCAGGCATTATTCTCCACCCTGAAGTTTCAGCAGTAAAGAAGAAAGACAAAGACCTTGCCCATGTGTTGCTTAAACTGTCGTTCTAGCGGGCTAAGAGACAGTAACTATGTAAGTGAATAAATGAATAATGTTATATAAGGATAATTGATTTGATGAACATGAAATAGTTTGAATGGGCGTGGAGACCTATTTAGCCACAGACGTCAGAATAAAACTGTCTTGGGAAGTCACACTGAAGCTGACACTGAGGAACCAGGAGAGAGCACCTGGGAGGAGGCTTTGCTAGGCGGAGGAAAGGACAGAGGCAAAAGCTGAAAAGTGGTGATGAGCTGGGCTTGGTTTGCCTGAGGAAGTAGTTGCAGGCTTTGTGGCTGTAATGCAGGAGATATGAGGGAGGGGTGTGCAAGAAGTGGTCAGAGAGACAAGGCCCTCAGCCACACTGTATTCCAAGCACAAAAGACCACGTGCAGGTCCAGTCAAGTTCTCCGTCTGGGGCTTAGACACACCAGACTTGGGGAGAGGATGCACCTTCTTTTGGATACCACCAGCATCCTCACCATGCCACCGTGGCCCATGTTTGCTGCTTTGGAGGGCAAACCCATCACTGGGTTGATTCCTGAAGTGTAAGTGCATTTTTCTGTCCAACACCCCATCCTAGTGCACCCATTTGAGGAGAAGAAAGGAAAAGAAATAGCACAATATATTGACATGAGTATTTGGCTTAATATCTTATTTCCAATGAATGATCTATTATAGAAGGCTCAAAATGGCTCGTTGAAGACGAACCTCCATCCCGCAGACGACTTCTGCATTTCTCAAAGTTTTTAAGTGATATGTGTCACCAATATTTTAAAATTATAAGATTTTATATCACATACGGATTTCCAGCTTGTTTTGATTGAAGTCAGAAGGCAGATTTCCAAATTCCCCCAAAGCTACAATTGGCTAGAGCTGGGCAGCTGCTCCCTTTAGCCACAGTCCACACTACTTCCCTCTTACATCCCACCTGACCTGCTTCATTCATGTCCCCTCCCTGCCTAGTTCATTCCACTGACCCAGCCTTACCAGCCTCCTACCTCCTGCTTCTAGTTTTGTGTGCTTACACTACGATGTCTGTGATCAGAGATCATCCTCAGCCTTCTGGCTATAACCTCATCCTCTGAGTTAGGAGGTTGTGCACATTTTCCTTGAACCTTTGTCCTTTCCCAAACACATACCTACCACACCAAACCGTCAGTATTGATGGTGCAACTAGAAGACACCCCCTTCTTGGGAGGAAAAAAGGGCATCTTACTATAAAAGCTAATGAGTTCCAATGCACACAAA